CTTGCAGGGCAGCTTGCAAGGAAGAAGTGCCTGACTGTGGGATTTAGTCAAGTTGGAGTGTATATAGATCTTGTGTTGATGGCAAAATGGTCAAGTATGAAATAGAGTCAATAGGAGTCAATCCCTCTGTTATGGCTACAGGCTGGTGTTGCCAATCTTCTCCATAACACCACTCCTTCAGATATTACATATCCAAATAGCCTGCAACTCATGTGGGTGTCAGATTTTGATTCCTGTCTCTATTCCCTGTGTTTTTAATTTTTCAATTGTAGAAAACAGCAGTAAATTGTATCCGAGGTGTCAAACACCACCCTCATTCCTTCCTCATAGAACCACAGCCACCATCCTCTCAAAAACATCTTACAGGCATCTAAAAACAGACTAGAAATATTTAGCTTTCTTCCACTTGTGCCAGGAAAATGCAGAAGTGACCCAGGTCATACCAAAGTAATGCTCTAGTCTCAGAGGTTCAAGTCCCTTGAGCTTGGGCTGTATTGAAATCTGATCATCTTGGGTGCTCTCAGAGAAGCTCTCGTATGACTAGGTTGAGGACCTGCATCTTTTCATTTTCTATATTGGTTTGAAAGACCTACATAGTCTACTAGTGCTTTGTTTGCACATCTTTAATGGAGTTGACCCATCCTACCATCGACGCTAGTTTTCAAGCCAACCTGAAAACGCCTACATAGTGGCTAACAGCGTCATCACACTTTTTAAATACATACTACGCTTTACAATATTACTTCTGTTGTATACTTTTAGCTTTTTGCAACTTCTACAAATACAAATTGACAAGCCTGTATCCCATCTGAGTGATCGGGTGTCAATGAAGGCTTTTCGTCACTGAGTCATGAATTATAGGTTCAGGCTGACTTTCACCATCTGCGACCCGAATGGCTTCAAGTAAAGCATCAGGCTGGGGACGTGGAGCTACAGCGTCCGGCGAGCGGCCCAAGATTGATTTGAGCGAGTCCCGTGTTGATGGCCCGATGGCTGCAAACCGGAGTGAAGTGGCGTGGGGATTTTCCAATAGGGATTTAAGCTGAGGAAAAGCTAGAGAAGCAGAGTTTGGACTAAAGAGTATCACCCAGCTTGGAAAACTAGGGAGCAAGGGCTGAATCGCGGGTTTAGGGATTGGGTGGGCCGTGTAGACTTGCCACTCGACAAACGGAATCGGCGGTTCAGAGGATGAGAGGGTATTTGAAAGATCAGCGTGCTGGTGTGCTCCTGTAAGGTAAAGAAGAGGTAGTAGTTTCGTCGGCCGATCATCATTGTCGGTAAAGGAGCCCGGGTCAGATATAGTAGCACCGAAATGGCGAGCGATAAAAGTGCCAAGAGATTTGCCGGAGCCGGCTTCGTCTGCTCCAAGCACACGTAACCCCGTGATTGGAGGAAAACAATCACCACCTGCAGAAGGCTTCAACCCTCGAAGAGCCCGCGCGGATGCTGGACCGACAGCTAAGAATGGAATTGAAGATCAGTCGCGCTTTGGTTATCATAGCTTGTGACGACATCCGGTATATAGCCTCTTGAAGCGCCTCGCTGACGAGCCTGGTGACAATAACACCTCCCCAGCGATTTGCTGGTCCGACTTCGAGGAGATTGGCAAGCTCATCGATTCGATCAAATGAAAAGTCTAGCACGGGCATGTAGACCGGCTCATAGTGACAGCTACGTAGTTTGATTGTCCAAGGATCCTCCTCGTAGCAAGGTGTTGGATGTTTCACAAGCAGCATGGTGTTAAAACGCTTTGGTGCTGAGACCAATTTGGAATCCGTGGCTGCGGATGAGCCGGGAACCTCATGCGCTACATTCGGTGTCTGGCAGTTGAGAAAACCATTTTGTTAGCGAGATGAAGGAAGGCATAGATAAACAACAGGTCACCTACACAAAGCTCAGGGTTGTTGGTTGAGGGGGTCGGACGGTCGAGGGAACCAGTCATGAGGCAAAGTCGCGCGATCCAGCTTGATCACCAGGTCGATTTGATGAATTGATATTTTGTAGAGGTCCGGAGAGATGACGCGGACCGTACCAGGGCTACCCGACACATGAGCCGCGCTTGCTCGGGAGCTGGGACCGGCAAGAATCTACCCCGAGCACTTTTTGAAAAAGCTTCCCGGCTTCCACGCCGCCCCCTCGCCGCCGGGGATCTCTACGTGCGTCTTCAGACCGTCTCCCACCACCAAAAAGCGGAGGCCTACCGAAATATCGGTTCCCTGTTGGTCCCCGTCGAGTTTTATCGGGTAGAGCCTGCTATAGCAGAAAATCTTTGCACATCCTCTTCATGAGCCAATGCTGGCTGATCTTCTACTTCCTTATGCAAGTATTTCAGTGTATTCAATGTCTTATGGCTATGGACAAGTCCTTCCTCACCTCAAATTCTCCCTATCTGTCCTCAATACCATGCCTCTCTGCTATAATTACAGTAGCTTGGTTCCCCAATATAAACTGGGGATCCTCATACTCTGGCCTGGCTCCTGTTCTGTCGGAGTTGGTACGGGGGGGCTGAGACCTAGCCTGAGGCACCATACCAATGGTACGGAAGCCAGAGATCCCCAAGCCCGCGGTAAACGGGGCTCATGCTGACTCAACACCCATTTCAGCCAGCAGCAGCCACTCAGAGCCACTCGATACAAACTTAACGTCCCAATGCTGGAACCAAGCATCAACTATAGCAAGGGACTTACACCTAAAGTTGGAGTGTGTGGTTAGGTCCAGCAATGAGACTGAGTTAAGTTTGCTCAACATATTATTTGGTGGAACTGATTG